GATAGGATGTGAAATTTAATACATGATCATACATTTAACTATATATTTATAGAAATTTACTATCCGTTCGCTACCCGTTCTATATCAGAAAGTAAACATTTTATCCCCGCATGTGCACATGAGCAAGAAAAATTCGACACTCGATGCATGCGCGCATGAGCAAAATGTGGAACTTTGGTGGGTGAATACATAGGTGCACGCATGTGCGCGAAAAACTACAAATTCGTCCTCCACCGTCGTCGTTTTCGTCCTCTGTACTCCACGTAGGTAAGGATGCTTGCATGCACTACCTTCCTACACATGTGTAGTACATGATCTCACAGTTTCAGCTCACCTCCATGCGTCACTACCGAGAAATTGACCACCTGCGCTTGGACTTTCCACACATTTGTGCGAGCACTGCATGTATGGGTAACAGCCAATAGCAAGTTGTATATGTTCAATGTGAGCGATATGTTGCTGACACGACAACCAAATCGCTCAATCGGATTGTCTAAAAAATATCTCACCAATCAAAATTCAATCATTTGTCGGTTATCCAATTACCGACTTCAAATTTGTCGGTTTGATGTGGGATGCCACCTACATGTATACATGCAGTGCTCGCACAAATGTGTGGAAAGTCCAAGCGCAGGTGGTCAATTTCTCGGGAGTGACGCATGGAGGTGAGCTGAAACTGTGAGATCATGTACTACACATGTGTAGGAAGGTAGTGCATGCAAGCATCCTTACCTACGTGGAGTACAGAGGACGAAAACGACGACGGTGGAGGACGAATTTGTAGTTTTTCGCGCACATGCGTGCACCTATGTATTCACCCACCAAAGTTCCACATTTTGCTCATGCGCGCATGCATCGAGTGTCGAATTTTTCTTGCTCATGTGCACATGCGGGGATAAAATGTTTACTTTCTGATATAGAACGGGTAGCGAACGGATAGTAAATTTCTATAAATATATAGTTAAATGTATGATCATGTATTAAATTTCACATCCTATCCGACAGTGGTGAGGCAAATACCCGGTTTAACCCAACAAGTAGCGCAGAATCAGCAGTTTGTCAAACGAGCGATTTGGGAAAGGGACAAAAGGAGTCAGCAATTCTGTGATCATCACGGCAATACTGTATCCGTTTACATGTTAACGGTAGTGGATCACAATGTCAAATTTACGGCCTGTTCCTGCATCTCCCTGGGAGATGCGGAAACAGGACACAAACACATCACACAGCCTACAATTATCTCAAACTCCTTGTATCAACCGCCATCACAGGAATATATCGCAACAGGGCGTGATGAATCTATGCAGCGATTTTCGTGATTTCACCGCATCTGATTGGACAAAATTGGACAATTTTGAATTCGCAAGGTGACCTGCCTTGCGTATTCCAAAAAGAGACAGACACATGAAAAATAAAAATCATCAATACAAACTTGAAGATATATTTAATTGAAACTATACAATTTCAGAACTATTTATGGAATTCGCAAGGTGGTTCACCTTGCGCAGCATACAAAATTGCCTATTTCACCTTGCTTTTCTGGTTAATGTACAAATCCACACTCACCATGTCCTCATGTGTCTATCGCTGAATTGCGAGCAATGAAGTCATACTGGTAAGCACAGGCTGAGAACAGGAGAGGGAATAATGGATGGTGATGGATTGATGTGACGGGATTTACTTTTCAGACTTGCTAAATCTGAATTCTTTAAACTTCCAAAATATATGGGCTATGAAGGATTTTTTCTTTTTTGAGGAAGTGTACGCCCGAATTCTGATTCGCTTCAGTAATAAGGAACAGACGGAGTAGTAGTTATAAATACTACTCGGAGTACTACGTAGTAGTAAGTTTTATGCTTACTTTCAGAAGTCAGTCAAGTTATAGTATACTATTAATAGTACAGTACTACGTAGTACATTTTGACAAGTGTGTACACTAACGAGTACTACTAGTAGTAATACTAGCACAAACTACCAAATCTACAACAAACGTTACACCCATTCACTAGCGACCGACTGTTCTTGGTCCAAGCTGTCAAACTCCTCGTGTACGTAAGAAGCACACTCGGAGTCGGTCGAATACGTCGCGGACAAGCGTTGTGGTTGCATGGGAAGGTTCTTCTGTTGGTGGTACACACTCCAATTGTGTTCAAGTCGATTCAGCATGCTTCGAAGTTCCAGCCTCGAAATGGACTCGAACAGATCCCGTGTGGACGTGGCGTCGTTGTTGCAGCCAGCAGCTGTAGCCAAGGTGGAGCTAATTGTAGCTGCCACGTTGGTCGTTGTGATGGCATTCAGTCGGCGAGAAGCAGTTGCGGCAACAGCCGCCGTCGAGCACCGCTTCCATGGAAGAGCTCGGAGCCATCCGAACAACATGGTTGCGCTCAAGAAGCTCTCGATATGGTAGCCACGGCTTCTGCGACCCACAGGGACAAATTAGAAGTGACATATCCTTTGCTGACGAACGCAAATTGACTGGCTGACCCGCCTTCTGTTTCTGGAAGAAGAAGGGTGAGGCAAGTGTATGTCGCATGTATGTGATGAGGCCATACTAGCTTCTGGATGTGGAGTTCTGCTTCGTCTTTGTTACCGTGCAAAGGTCCGCTTGTAAAGATTGCTACTGTACCGGTACTACTGTACAGTAGTATTACGTAGTACTTCGTAGAATAGTACGAGTATTAAATAATTATCTATTTGGTCTAACGTAGGTCCGTCCAATTTAACAACACTTTTTCCGAGATTCTGCCGAGCAAGGCATGTACTGTAACACCACCATTCTTAGATATCGGAATATAATTCTAAAATATGTAACAAGAAGCCAAAGTCCAGGCCTATTTGGGAGTTTTGAGTTGGACAGTTTCCAGTTATAAATCATGATCATTCACACCATTTTCACCGGTCCAATTTAAGGTGCACTATTTGAAGCTTAATAGTTGTATTCCAATTTGCATATTTTTGGGCGGTTAGGTTAACAACTGCCGTTCTAGGAATTTATTGGCTAATCACAGTGTACCTTAACATGGATCGAGCACCTTAAATTGGACTTTTACATTAGTATGTGGATTGGTGAATAAACACTTCATAAATGATAAATGAAGAAGTAGAGAAACTATGCCGACCACACTGCTGAATTGAATGGGCTGGGTCCAAAGAAACGACCGTGACGGCAGACGCGGCGACTCTTGGGCTTGTTGGCCAAACGTATGCATACCTTGGATGATAAATGTACTTGAACTTCTATTAACCCAAACATAAATCATCAAATCAGCACACTTTTCATGACAAAAATTATTATCATGAATACTACTGTACTGGTAGTACGTTCATACGGTATCGACAACAGAATTACGAGTCCCACTGTTTCGAAGTATAGTGAACTGTATACAAGGCTAAACAAGAGCCTCTACTGATCTTCTCACATTTCATAATTTTCACTTTGACCAGCAAAAACTTGGTGAAGCAGTACTTGCATCTATCATGCAGAACGTTCAATCCATTTTAATTCCATAGTTGAAAGTTCGTCCAAATCGCCTTATTTGTTGAGAAATCGAAACCAAAACGAAGGGGTCGATTTTCGGGTCATCACTCATATTGTAGTTTACGTAAATACGATTTGTACGATACTATAGTAGTAATACAGTACTATTACTACTAGTATGGTACACGAGTACTAATACAAATCGTATTACTGGTGTACCATATTTAAATGTATACTAATTACATGTACTACACCTTTTTTGGGGTTATTTTCAGCTTTTTTCACTATATTTCGCTAAGCTTGCAGAAAATTTCACGAGACCACCAATATATTTCGGTTATCCCCATTCAATTTCGTGGAGACTTCAAACTTCAGGTTTATATTTCACCAAGCCAGCAGTACAATTTCAGTTTTCGTCAATATATTTCGCCCAGCATCCTATATATTTCGGCCAACGATGTTCTCTGCTGACTCTGGATCGCCGGTTTCGTTTTCGTTTTCGCGCGCTTCCACCTTTCGTAGCTTCATTCCGAAAGGAGCATTCGGCGCCACCCCCCGCCAAGTGCCGACGACTTTAACACCACGAGGTAAACCCCTACTGCACCGACGCTGTCCTGTAGACTGTATTATGTTTGTGTCTCATAGGAATTCATATACTACCGTACGTGGGCCTATCGTCGCTTGTGCGCACATCCGCTGTGCGTTGGGCTCCTCTCGACGAAGTCGCTTGTGCACATGTCAGAGGAGCCCAATCAACGGCAGATCTGCTGTCCGAAACAACGAGGTACTGGTAACTCTAATGTGTCGAGTCTAAGCAAGCACTGTTCTAACGTAAAGTCATAGATCAAACAAGTAGAAACATGCATCGGTGGCGGCAAGCCAAGTTGTAACTTGTCGTCATTGTGGTGTACTCATGGCATGGAGTCCAACATGCCGAAAAGTCGCAAGCAAAATCACCCCAGGGCATACTAGTAGGTAGGTAGATACTGTACTGTAGATACATGCCCTGTATGATTGGGTTTTTTGGCGAAATTAGTCGGATGCCGGGTGAAATATATTGACGAAAACTGAAATTAAAAACGATAGTTGATTGAATTATACTAGGGAGAGTCAATATAGGATTTTTCGATTTGCTTTTGCTTTTCGACCATTTTTGAAAAGCAAATTTATATTCTTTTGTGTATTTTATTATTGTTGAACGAAAAGCAAAGGACAGTCAATACTGTATAGGCCAACGATTCAGCCGTAACCGCTATCCGTATCCGCATAGATCACTTCATTGTCGAAAATGCCACAGCTCTCAGAAACCTTGTCGACTTGGATAGGATGGTACGAACTCTTGCTACTTGCAGCCCCTCTGCATCGAAGAAAGATATTGATGAACTTCTACGACTTCGATACATGATACTTTGTTCACGTTATATGTTCTCCCGTGCTTCGCTCCCTCGATCCTTAGAGCAACTATCCATTCTACCATTTAAGGCTGTTGGAGACTTTGTACAAGAGGTTCGTGTATGTCAGAGCACATTTTCATATATTGTTCAGTTGACTGAACTGGCAGAATAAAGCAAGACATGTTTAACAGTCTTATCAGAATTAGTGAATTCGGCCCCGAAATTTTGGGCCAGAATATTGTTATCAGACGCGCCCTTAAATACTTATATTATTATATTCACGTTTTATACTTCATGGTTGCACATCAACGAAAAATACTGTAGTTTTTCCTACTTGCAAGCCAGTCTATCACACCCTGGACAGCGGTGCAACCAGATATAACTCAGGACCCCACTCCAATTTCGAATCGACGTCACAATACTAACCCTAACGAGACGATCGACAGTTTTATATAAACAGTTTAACGTTATGGAAAAGCGTTCGGGAGAGAAATTATTTTCCAAGAGTCCTGTTACTAGTATAGTAGTAAGTAACTTAGTACTTGATTTGAAACAAGCTGAACCCCTCTATAAATTTGTACTATTTCCCACCATAAGTGTAGGCTCGTATTTTATCCAATCATATCAATTCTGTAGTTTTATTGGGTAATGCCGCTCGGAGCTTGGTTAGAGTCAGAACACCCTGTTCTGATAGAGAACATCCCCACTGCCCAGTCAGTCAGGTAGCAGCGTCTGCTAGCTGTGTAGGAGGTTTTTGTGCCTTCTAGAGGCTTTTCCTCAGAGTAGAAGTCAGCGCAGACATTTGGTCACTGAACATCATTGGATGTCGTGATCAATCATAGTTAGTTTTGATTGGCTGGTCCTTTCCAGTCAGAAGTGAATTACTTCCAGTTATTCCTTCTGCCTGCCAAGTGCCTGTTCCTGCCTACTGCCCTTCCAACTTTTAGGACAGTTATCCAGAATCCGGTTAAAATTTGTTATACGGATTTAACCGGTTTATGTTGTCAACTTGAAAATGGTGAACGCAATTCCGAATGAAACACACTGAAAAAAGGTTTAGCAGACCCAAAGGCTCTTACGCTGGTCTATCATTGCACGTGTAGGGCTTTGCACCACAAATACCTGCGGTCGGCTTAGGATGTGTGCCTTTAATGTGACTTTCGACACTGAGGCAACGTGAACAATGGATGTTATTCGAATTTTGAGCAGTACCGCATGTGTTTTTTCGGCATGGACATGGGTTACGACTGGCAGTTATCACTCCTTGGTTGGCAGATTCCATCAAAATTGTCATGGAAGGTTACTGTAGTGCAAGGACTTACTAAGGAAATGAGACTGAACTATTGCAACCCGTTTTCGAGCTATTACATATATTAAAACCTAACGTTAGTCTAGGTACCAATAATTTTCACGAAATATTTCGGGGGGTACGAATAACTGCTGGATTATACAGACGGTACAGTAGGACTCGGTAGGACCATATAAAGGACCGCAATAAAAAAGACTATTTTCGTCCCCGACTCGAATATATATATATATATATAGTTATCACGAGTCAGGTACATGTAGAAAAGGACTCTGGGAAAATCATTTCTCCCCCGAATGCTTTTCCATAAACTGTTCCTATAAAACTGTCGATCATCTTCTTATTAAGGTTAGTTAGTACATGGCCCCGATTAAATCAGCGTACGTTTCCCCGAAAAGGCGTCGATTTGACATCTCTGCATCTACTAGATAACGAATCCATATTAGTCCTATCATATCAAATTCCCATTAATTGTAATAACTGTACCCCAATCCGCTGGCTTATCTATTAGGCGCCACTTCAAGATTGGATTGGAGTGCATTGCCAACCCTAGTCTCATACAAAAGTATAATAAGCTTAGCGTCTGGCTCTATAAATCTAGTGAAAAAACAAATTTCGTCTTATGCACCTGTTAACTCGACGGGGTGCTGGACAGACTCGACCAGTACATCTAAAGCTACTGCCCACAGCGGACACTTTTGCACTTCGGGGATACTCGTGGCTTTACTCCCGATATTTCGTGATTTATCGAGGGCTTCGTCGATTAATTTCGAGTCTTTTTTGCATTTCAGCAGCAATAATACACTGGGAAAAGATCGGCCTTCGCCCACCACCACTGCTTTCGCCACGTACGATGCCTATATATATATATTGTCAAGGCGATTATATATATATTGTCAAGTCAATTCGAAATTGTAGCGTTTGACAAGTCATATACGACCAATCATAATCCAGATCACTAATCAAGTCGCCAATCAAATTCATTCTTCGACCAATTCAACATTTATTGAATTCGTGTGTG